TGCTGGTAGCTTTGAGAACACTGTCCAACCATCTCATCCTCTGTCGTCCCCTTCTCCTTGTGCCCTCCATCTTTCCCAACATCAGGGTCTTTTCCAGGGATTCTTCTCTCATCATGAGGTGGCCAAAGTACTGGAGCCTCAGCTTCAGGATCTGTCCTTCCAGTGAGCACTCAGGGCTGATTTCCTTAAGAATGGAGAGGTTTGATCTTCTTGCAGTACATGGGACTCTCAAGAGTCTCCTCAGGCACCATAATTCAAAAGCATCAATTCTTCAGCGATCAGCCTTCTTTATGGTCCAGCTCTCACTTCCATACATCACTACTGGGAAAACCATAGCTTTTACTATACGGACCTTTGCTGGTAAGGTGATGTCTCTGACACGATACCCTACACAAATGCAATGCAATGCCCTAAAACAAGAGAACAGCACCCTCCTATCCCTCTCCCCTCTCTCTTCCTCCCCCAACTGCACAATATCTAGAACAATAGTGTCTCATACAAAACACAACTGAACTCCATAAATCAAAAGCGGAGATGCTGTATGCACTTTCCCCTGTTTATTTGTTTGTTTTGTAGCCAAGAAAATCTCTAATAAAACTATTTTTTAAAAAAAAGGAAACGGGGGCACTAGGTTGGCTACATCTGCTATTGCATCTCATTCCCTGTTCTGCACAATTGGCCTAACTTCACAATGAATCATGACTTGCCTTTGTTTTGGCTCTATTTAGAAACATGTTGCTCTATTCGGAACACTTCTTCATAGCTGTGGCTACTGAGTTTGCACTGTTTGGAAATCAAAGGTGTTGCATCTCTAGGTTGGAACATCTGCACTGTTGTTTTTTCATGGGGCGGGGACAGATTCTGTCCCTGCTCTCACAGACTTACATAAGTCACTGGAGCTGTCAGAACTGACAGCTGTGCCAACCTGTTCAGTGCTGTGCCTTGTGGTCCCACCCAACAAAAGGAATGAGACACAGCTCTCAATTCTGGATGCGGAAGTCCCTAAGCTCATCTCCAGGAGGACAATGTGTGCCAAAATATTCTGGAACAAAAGTAGACATTTCAGAAAAAGTAGTAATCAGTGCAGCAGGAACGCTTTTCCTCTTCCAGCATGCTTGATTGCAAAAATCCGTAAACCCCAAATGTTCAGTTTAGCAACAATGTGTTAGCGGATCAAGCAAATAGACCTACATAACTGCTGAATGAAATCATGCTGACGTCCCTCATCGCCATAGTGGTTTGTTCTGTAGAATGTTTTCCATCACAGGGCCCTCAGTTTAATGTCAGAAAACACAACGTCATTGTCTCTGATTCAGAAGGTTGCTCCTGTCTTGGCTGTAAAAGGCAAAATAATCAGTATTCAAAAATTTAAATTCCCCTGAAAAGAGAGTCTTACACATGCTCATATTGTGCAAGCTTTTGATGTACAATATTGCGTATCATTGTCTATCACTCCAGTAGATGTTGAAAAAGGAAGTGTTTCTTTTTATGTAGGACATGTTTCACTACTGCACCTGAAAATATTTAATTTTAGCATGAACGTTAGAAGAATTTTCCATCCTCAACAGAGCCAACGGACTGCGCTTCTGTGGCAGTCACTGTTCTAGCATGTCACCTCAGAGGATTGTTAATTTTGCTCTAAATCTTCACCAGGAATGATCCAAATCCATGAGTAGGCAAACTAAGGCCCGGGGGCCAGATCTGGCCCAATTGCCTTCTAAATCTGGCCTGCGGACAGTCCGGGAATCAGAGTGCTTTTACATGAGTAGAATGTGTCCTTTTATTGAAAATGCATCTCTGGGTTATTTGTGGGGCATAGGAATTCGTTCACCCCCCCACCCAAAAAATATACTCCGTCCCCCCACAAGGTCTGAGGGACAGTGGACTGGCCCCCTGCTGAAAAAGTTTGCTGACCCCTGAAATAGACACAGCGCTGGACATGATGATCTGCTCTCAGTTACATACAACAAACAACCGCATTCACAAGCCCATGTCCTCACTCACGCACACACCCCATATATTTTGAATATTTAATGATCTGAACACACCTTGTGCAGTGATTGGGCAGAATCCTCTCCCAAAAAACCACACACACACACACACATGCACAACCTGAAATGCAGACATAGCATAAGCTAGAGGCTAGAGCAGCAAATTATGCAGAGACATGGCAAGCAGCCTCCTTCGACAGGGTACTTGGGCCTCCATGAGCTTCTCATTGATTTCTTGTGGCAGATTGAGCAGTTCTCTTGTGGCATGTAGTTTGGGAATTTAGCACAGAATTGCCAGTTTAATCTGAACAAAACCAGGCGGTATATTAAATGGTGATAATGATATTCCCCATTAAAGATAAACAGCCCTAAGAAGGGATAGCAGGGATTGGTGGCCTTGAATCAACAGCTAGCAGTATCTAGACAAGCCAACTGGTCACAGTCTATCTGCCTATGGTGAGAGATGTACTGTATCTCTACATAGATTCGTACTAATTACTACTCAATTAACACACACAATCTTTCCAAGTCCTCATTTGTTCTCATGTTTGACAATACTTAAGTGGTCACCCAATGTATCAATTGTAAGTTGAAAATGAGGGGCACTAGGAGCATAAAAATGGAGTTTATTCCTCCTGAGCCCCCCAATACATGAAACCAGAGAGCAAAGTTTTTGGTGAGGTCTCCTGGAGGCAGCTGCTCCCATGAACCACCCCCAAAAATGGAACAATAGGTGTGGCATGAAATACACTGATGTGCAGAAGTGTTTAATGCAAGGTAAAGTAAAGGTAAAGGGACCCCTGACCATTAGGTCCAGTCGTGGCCGACTCTGGGGTTGCGGCGCTCATCTCGCTTTATTAGCCGAGGGAGCCGGCGTACAGCTTCCGGGTCATGTGGCCAGTATGACTAAGCCATTTCTGGTGAACCAGAGCAGCGCACGGAAACACCGTTTACCTTCCCACCGGAGCAGTACCTATTTATCTACTTGCACTTTGACGTGCTTTCAAAATGCTAGGTTGGCAGGAGCAGGGACTGAGCAATGAGAGCGCACCCCATCATGGGGCTTCGAACCGCCGACCTTCTGATCGGCAATCCTAGGCTCTGTGGTTTAACCCACAGCGCCACCCGCGTCCCTTCTCTTGCAAGGTAAACCTGCACAAATGTTATTCTCCAAAGCCTCTTTTTAAAAAACAAAACAAAAAACCCCCACTGCAGATGCTCAGTAAAGTTTTCCTTCTCTTTTGTCCAGTGAAAAGCCTGGCAAGAGCTTGATGGAGCAAAGGATCTTTCCGGATGGATCTGCCAGGAAGGGAAAGCAGAAGTCAAGTCCAACAGACAGATAAAGCAGTGATGTCATCCATTTCCTGGAACAAGAGTCAATTCAGCCAACGCATTCCAAGCCCCCATTGCTCTGCTAGCAAAACAAGAGGACTCCTCTTGGGCAGCTTTGTGTATATCACAAAGGAAATTGCACCACTTGAAAATGCAGGTGGCAGGAATGCGGCTGAGTCAAGATTTCAGCAGAGGCTCTGAGTCAAGAGGAAAGAGGGCATGAAACTGGGAGTCAGGTCTCCCTGCGGAAAGATAGGAAGGGATCTTAGGCAGCAGATCAGCAACAAGGCATAATATTCTGAGGAAAGTGAAAGTGTCAGGGTCAGTAATGACTCAGAAGCTTGAATTCTTGATAACAGTGGGCTGGGATAGGAATCCAGGGCACATCTCAGGACACATGTTGAGTAACCCTTTTTTTCTTGCACTAGACTAGAGGGTTGCTTCACAAATTGCATTTGAGCCGTACACTGTCCATTTCTGAAGCGTAAAATAATTTTTTAAACTCTTTTTCTAAGTTCGTAACATTGGTTTTATCATTAGGCGCCACATTAGGATAATAAAAAAACAAATAACTGAAAGTGGGGCAAAAACATGTCTTTCATTTTATTCTTCACACAGCACATAGTTAAACTACGGGATTTGCTCCCAGAAGAAATAGAGGTGGCCACCAACTTAGACGACTTTTAAAAAGGATTAGGTAAATTCCTGGGGGAGAGGGCTATCAATGGCTCCCAGCCAAAATGGCTTCATTCCTCCTCCACTGCTGGATATAATAATAATAATTGTAATAATGATGATGATGATGATGATGATGATGATGATAATAATAATAATAATAATAATAATAATAATTTATACCCCGCCCATCTGGCTAGGCTTCCCCAGCCCTTCTGGGCGGCTTCCAACAAAATATTAAAATACAATAATGCATCAAACATTAAAAGCTTCCCTAAACAGGGCTGCCTTCAGATGTCTTCTAAAAGTCTGGTAGTTGTTGTTCTCTTTGACATCTGGTGGGAGGGCGTTCCACAGGGCGGGTGCCACTACTGAGAAGGCCCTCTGCCCTCTGCCTGATTCCCTGTAACTTGGCTTCTCACAGTGAGGGAACCACCAGAAGGCCCTCAGCGCTGGACCTCAGTGTCCGGGTAGAACGATGGGGGTGGAGACACTCCTTCAGATATACTGGTCCGAGGCCATTTAGGGCTTTAAAGGTCAGCACCAACACTTTGAATTGTGCTCAGAAACGTGCTGGGAGCCAAAGTAGGTCTTTCAAGACCGGTGTTATGTGGTCTCAGCGGCCACTCCCAGTCACCAGTCTAGCTGCCGCATTCTGGATTAGTTGTAGTTTCCAGGTCACCTTCAAAGGTAGCCCCACGTAGAGCGCATTGCAGTAGTCCAAGCGGGAGATAACCAGAGCATGCACTATTCTGGCGAAGCAGTCCGCAGGTAGATAGACAATATGTCCCTGAACAGCAATTGCTGGAAATCACATGTGGATAGAAGATGCTGTTGTACTTCGGGTCCAGCTTATGGACTTCATCTGGATGGCCACTGTGAGAACAAGATGTAGGACAAATATGAGTTTTTAGCCTGACCCAGCAAGGCTTTTATTACAGAATCATAGAGTTGGAAGGGACTATGAGGACCATCTAGTCCAACCCATGCAATGCAATCTTTTGCCTAATGTGGGGCTCGAACCCATGACCCTGAGGTTAAGAGTCTCATGCTCTACTGACTGAGCTATCTCAGCCCTGCATGTTATCATGTTCTTATTCAAACAGGTGTACTATGTTGGTCCAAACCACAGTTCCTTGTATATTGGCTCAAACAAGTCCCCAAGGAACTTACTTCTCTTTACGTTCTGATTGTGAATTTCTGGGCATAATTAAATGCTGATTTGAATTCCCCCTGAATTAATTGCAACTCATCCCAACATCTGTTGGGCACCTATTCATCTGGGTACACGTGGAGGCGATGGCACAAAGTACTTTTCCCTGGGATGTTTGCCTGGTGCCAGTCTTAACTTTAGGGACCACATGAAAACATTTCTTGATAAGCTGAGATATTAATGAGCCTTTTTGACATGCATGCAGGCCCTTCATACGAATGAGTGAGCAAACTGGAAGGTCTTCTATTAACTATAGTTTCCTGTTTCATCCAAACCAGGAAACTATAGTTGAGTTTCCAACAGCGCAGGATATTAACACATGGTTTGAAGATAGCTTAATATCCTGGCTTGTTGGGAAGCTGCTAATGGAATATTATAGTAAACCAAACAGTTCACTGCTTTGATCCATCCCATCTGGGTAGAAGGAATGCACACACCAAAAAGGGCCATTCATAACTCAGCTCATTAATTCAACTTATTATCTTGCACATGTGGCTACTGAGCGAGAATAGATAAGAAAGTTCGGGACCTGGGTGTTTTGATCAGCAGTAGGCTCATTCACACATCCAAGTCCCCATTTAATGATGCCATCATTTATTTGTAGCCCACCTTCCATCTAAGGAGTTCAAGGTGGTGGTACATGATTCCCCCCTCCCCCATTTTATCCACACAACAATCTTGTGGGGTAGGTTAGGCTGAGAGACAGTGACTGGCCCAAGGTTGCCCAGTGAGCTTCATGGCTGATGGAGGATTCCAACTCAGATCTCCCAGGTCCTAATGCAACACTCTAACCACTACACCACACTGGCTCAATGTTCACTCAATGAGCATGCAAGTATGAACTGGGGGAGAATGAGCAGATTTGATGACTGGAGTTAAAATGCTGCAGCGATCTGACAAGAAGGGTCATGCTGGCTGCCTTTATCTGGTGGTGTGTGAAGGGAGGATGGGCCTGGAAAAGAATTTCGCCATATGGCTTCAAGCCTTAAAGAGAGAAAGAGGTGGAGCAGAAAGTTTCCTCATGAAAAACAGCAATGATTAAAAATAAATAAATTCCCATACCGATGAAAATAAGCTGATGAGCTAGCTAGTCCCGTATTTATCACTGAGCTCAGGACAATGCTAAAAGCATGATTTCAAAAATGTCTGGGAGGTTTCTACGCATGGATGTTCCTGTGATGTCAACCAGCACTGCAATTCCCAGAGTTCCCTGAGTAGAGGGATGGATTGAGAAACCACTCTGGGATTGGTTGCCTCCTAAGAATTCTCAGCACCCTACACTTCCCAGGAGATTTGAGGGTGAAGCCATGACAGTTTAAGGGGTATCATAGGGTGGGAGTAGGTACACAAATTTGTGCTTAAAGTGAGCAATCCTGGGGGGGGGGGCACAAGTAGGGTTGGAGGGATATGTGTTGGGTGGGTAATGCCCAACTACGCAATCCCTGAATTCTTTGGGGGAAAGGTGGGATACAAGTGAATAATAATAATAATATATTTTAAAGTACATTACATAAATAATATGTATGGGGTGTTAGGGGTTCCTCTGGTAGGGGACATGCTGCTTCTGCAACATTTCCTTGCAGGTCCCACTTATCATTTTAGAAACTTTAAAAAGCACTGAATTAACAAGTCCGCCCTAACTAGCTCTGGGGCTGATGATAGGGTAGCAAATTGTTAAGTTGCTTTCTTTATTTTTCTTGTGTTTTTACTGCTAGGGATGGGGAACGGGTTTTCACCCTCGGATCCCAAAGTTACTTGACTGGCCTTGGGTATTGCTATAACCCCAAGTGGGAGTTGTTCTGCTCTTCTGAGCTGGGCAGCCAAATTTCTTCTGCTAGCCCTGTGGGTAACAGTGCTGCCGGAATGTTCCGTCATATTTCAAGCGGTGAAGAGATTCCAGGACACGAGCTGGAAAAGTGAATCACTTTTATGTGCTAAGATAAGCTTGAGATGCATCTCCTTTTGCCTGGAAGCCCCCAGTCAGTATGAGATCATTCCAGTAACAGGAAAACCAGCAGGGACTTTCTGTACAGAGAACAATCAGGTATGGAATTGCCCTGCAGTGTTATGTGCAACTTTAGATAAATTGATGTGGTAGTTAGAAAGTTAAACTAACACGGCCAGTTTTAAATCTACACCAGCCAAGAAGGTCATGAGTGAGCTTGGGTTAGTTAGGGTCATGTTTAGCCGAGTTTTGCTTTGGGCCACATTCTCACCATACATTTAAAGCACTATGATACCACTTTAAACATGGCTTCCCCCAAATAATTCTGGGAGGTTTAGTTTCTTACAGGAGTACAATTCTCAGAGTTTCCTGTGGAGAGGGATTGATTGTTAAACCACTATGTAAATTGTAGCTCTTTGAGGGAGGTATATATCCCCTAACAACTCTCAGCAGCCTTAAGAAACTACAGCTGTCTTCTTCTTTTTTATGTGTTTTCTGTTTTTTTATCAGTGCACATAAATGGCAACCCTATAGTCTACTGTAGCAGTTCACACCTGACAGTGTGTGTTCCGGCCCCCAAAATCATTATGCCGCAATCAGTTAAACTGGATGGATATATATATATACCCATGTCTAGTGGTCTATTTTTATTTCATAAAATGTATATACTGCTTGATTGCGATACAAAAACATCAAGGTGGTTTACAAAACAAAACAAAAAAGTTATCTGCAAAACCACCTAAAAAACGATCAGTTAAAACATTCAAAAAATAGTTTAAAATCCACGATAAACTAAAAAAACTGATTAAAGCACACGCCAACATTCTATGTATCTTTTAGGGGACACCAAAGTGGGTACAGTTAAGGCACCTACCTGATGTCAATACACAGTGAATTCCAAAGTGTGCTTGCTGATAAAAGATTGATTTCTTACAAATGAAGTAGGGATGAGGGATGAGGTAGTAAAGAGGTGGCAGAATGGATGGTGTCACTTCAGAGGATCACGTTTCCGATTGCTGTCTTGTGCCGAATGTTGAAAAAGCAAACTGAAACAGTAACAACCCCCCACCGTCAGAAAACAACCTCTCAGGGAGTGAGCTGAGATAGAACCTTGTTCTTTGATGTGCTAGATTATTCCCCCTCATGCTTCCAAAGCATATTTTTCATGGGTGGCTGGGGGGAACCATTCAAAAGTGGCACTGTCCTGACCCCACCTGCATTTTGAACTGGTATTCTACATGTGCTGGTCGTACACATTAGGAGATTTAGAAACCCTCTAAAAGTTTGTTTTTTGAGAGTATAGCAGAGGATCAGCTCCCCCCCCCCCGCCAGCTGTGTTTGTTCTCTTGGTGAAATACATGAAATTTTATGGGCTGCTGCCTGTTAACTAATTTGCTCCAGCAGACACTTCCTAGAAAGAGTGCTTGTCAGGATTAGAGTGGTATTTATATCCTTTCCAATATCAGTGAAGCGGGCTTAGTTTCATCTTGTAAAAACACTTAATATTTGCTTGATTGGGAAGATATTGAGAGCCACTGTATGTGTAACTAGTGGCTGGAGTGTCCTCAAATACTTGGAATCGGTGGAGTTTTCCTTGTGGATTTGTTTTTTTGCCCAAGCAGGCATTCCGGATAACTCATTTTGAGACTTCGGCTGCTAATCTTCAATGTTGAATCCTCTGTGGTCATTTTCTCCTTTCTGGCAGGTTCAGGGTTACAGCAAGCCTTTGCCAAACCAGCTGTGCTTTTGAGACTGGCTTTGAGTGGCATAGCTGGCTGAATTCAGTGCCAACAAGAAGCCTGGTGCATGTTCTGTTAGAGTTTGGATTTGATATCCCACTTTATCACTACCCGAAGGAGTCTCAAAGCGGCTAACATTCTCCTTTCCCTTCCTCCCCCACAACAAACACTCTGTGACGTGAGTGAGGCTGAGAGACTTCAAAGAAGTGTGACTGGCCCAAGGGCACCCAGCAGCTGCATGTGGAGGAGCGGGGAATCGAACCCGGTTCACCAGATTACGAGTCTACCGCTCTTAACCACTACACCACACTGGCTCTGTTAGGTCACATTTGCACTGCATTTTTATGATGCAAGTCATAGCTTCCCCCAAATAATTATGAGAATGAAGCTTGCCTGGATGTATATGTAGAAACACCTGGATTTTGCATGACTTGGTTGTAACCTACTGTCCAAAAGGTGAGGGTCACATCTGTCGCTCCACTCATTTTTGTCTCTGGCTTTGCCCACCACTGGTATTTACCCTGGGGAAAGTTGCCTATGTGGCCTGTGGACTGAAAGGTGTTTCCTACACCTGTTTTAGCAGACGGCTATATTGTTTCTCATTTTTGTATGCTACAAGTCATATGGTGTGGTCTGTTGATGGACTCTCCGTAGTGGTGTCCACCCTATGGAACACCCTCTCATCAGATGTCAAGGAGATAAGTAACTATATAACCTTTAGAAGACATCTGAAGGCAGCCCTGTATAGGGAAGTTCTTTAATGTTTAATGTTTTTATATACAGTGGTACCTCGGGTAAGTAGATAAATAGGTATCGGGTAAGTAGATAAATAGGTACCACTCCAGCGGGAAGGTAAACACCGTTTCCGTGTGCTGCTCTGGTTCGCCAGAAGTGACTTAGTCATGCTGGCCACATGACCCGGAAGCTGTACGCCGGCTCCCTTGGCCAATAAAGCTAGATGAGCACCGCAACCCCAGAGTCGGTCATAACTGGTCCTTTACCTTTACCTTTTACCTCAGGTTAAGAACTTAATTCATTCTGGAGGTCTGTTCTTAACCTGAAACTGTTCTTAACCTGAGGTACCACTTTAGCTAATGGGGCCTCCTGCTGCCGCTGTGCTGCCAGAGCACAATTTCTGTTCTCATCCTGAAGCAAAGTTCTTAACCTGAGGTACTATTT